TTCAAAGTAACATCAGAAGATACAATTCATGCTTTCAGATGACATCATTTGGATCTGGGAGTGAAATTCGGGAACAAGGCTTTATGCCTACTTTCAAAGTTCAGGCACAAGTGTACCACAGAATAGGAAGTCTACAACCACAAATAAATGATAAGTCAAAATTTCTTCAATTATACTTTGTAGGGGATCAGGAAAAGATATCCGAACAACGTTGCAGGAATGTTAAACAAGCATTAGTTTCAAGTTTGCAAGAAATGTTGCATGAACACAATAATTACTTGAGAAGTTTTAAGTTGGCCATGGAGAAAATGACTCCTGAATTAAAAGTTATAATTCAGGCAGATAAAACACCTGTCGGTCAGCATGAAATACGATTTAATGCTCCAAATACATCGGAGGTGGCAGTTATTCTTGCAGGTGATGTATACAGTAGCAGAGATATAGTATTGGAATTAAAAGGTAATGAAATTAAAAAAAATTGCAGAAACACACCAAGCATATGATGCATTACAGTATCTTTTGATGTTCTGGCAAGGTGAAGACGGCTACCATTTTGAACCAAGGCAAGTAAACTTAACTTCCGACTTCCCGACTTCTAAGAAAATTTCAGCCATGGATTTTTATGCCTATCGAATTATGTTTCGAGCAGCAAATTTCAATATTATTTTAAGATGCAAGGGACTTTTTAATCAATCTATTGTGGACATGTTCGCAAAAACTGATTCTGAGCGATTGAGGTTTGTACGCTTGAACCAGAAGAAACTACGTGTTGAAGAGTATGTTCATCTCAAGGATGCCCTAAACAGAGACGGGAGTGTTCATGATATTGGTAAAATGGTAATTTTACCTTCTATATTTACTGGTGGTCCACGCTACATGCAGGAACGAACTCAAGATGCGATGACATATGTTAGAAATTACGGGAAGCCTGATTTGTTTATTACATTCACCTGTAATCCACAGTGGCAGGAGGTTACCAATGAATTAATGACTAGGCAGAGAAGTCACGATCGACATGATTTGCTAGCAAGAGTTTTCCATCTTAAACTAAAAGCTCTTATGATTCTCATCAACAAAGGAAAAGTATTTGGCTCTGTTCAATGTTTTATGTACACAATAGAGTGGCAAAAACGTGGTCTCCCACATGCTCATATCCATATATGGCAACGTTACTTTTAGGAAGTAACGAGTAAAAGTACAAGTATTTTTAAAAAAAGTAACGAGTAAAAAGCAAAAAGTTCTCGTTTTAAAAAGTAACAAGTAAAAAGTACAAGTAAAAATACAAGATCTAAACAAAAAAAGTAACGATTTAAAAGTACATTTCTAGGAAATCGAAAATTCAAAGTAACCTAAAATTTTATTGAATAATATTCTTATGTTTTTTAATGTTTTTGCAAAATTTTTGTTATTTACTTAATTATTTTTAATTTTAAAGGTTATGGACATTAATTTATTTTTAAATTTGGAAGAATATTATAATATTATTTTATTATATAATCGTATAATATAATTTTAAAATCAAATATAATTTTAATATCAAATATAATTTTAATATCAAACTTTTTATGGATTTGCACGAAAAAGAAATTTTATCTATTGATTTTAATTTTTTAGTTAATTATTTTTATTTATTTAAATTATCATTGATTTAAAATTGTTTTACTCTATAGAAACTCGCTTTAAAAACACAAACATAAGCAAACACGGGGTTTCAGATAGCTTTGTGATCTTTGAGTTAGTAAAAAATAATTGAATGTGCAGTATAAGTTGAAACAGAACAGTCTACAGTTTTATTTGCTACAATGACTAATGCTGAAGTCATGCGAGAAAATCATTTTCGGAACATTTCTGCCTAACGAAATAATTAAAATTCGTAAACGCATTTTAGTATCAGCGGCTAAATTAATACCTTCGAGTTTTCAAGAGTTAAAATAGTAATTATGATAGTTTTCAATAGCACAAATAGTTCTGAAGTTCTTAGAGATTTGACTGGACGTTATTTGACGAGGTCGGGAATAAACATAATTTTAGTACTAGGTAAAAAAGTATTTAGTAAAAAAAATTTTAAGGCAAAAATGTATTATTAGTGAGTTCAAAAAGAAAATTGAAAAACGTAATAACAAATTCCAAAATTTTTTATTCAAAAGGTATTAAATAAATCTCCGCGAATAAAAAGAGAAACAACGTTTTCTTCTTTTCTTCTTTATGGTTACGTTTTGGAGGAGTAGCAAGAACCAAAATAAATCAAAGTATCTTTGTGTCAATAAGACATCAAAGATACAGTTCATTTGTTATTTCAACAGAACTATTTCCTAAAAGGAAAAAAAGCATGTCCCCTTCAAAAAAAATTTTTTTTTTCCATCCCATGCGGTGATAACAATATTCATATGGGTATTTGTTCATTCCAACACCCCAAAACTTAACGGTACTATTGAAGATTATTTCTTAGAATTTCATCAAACATTTTGTCTTGAAACTTCAAAATTTAACAAAGAAGGACATTTTAGTGTTTGTAGAAGCATGCCGCTGTAACTATCATTCACATTCAGATTGTCACAAAAATAAGGATTCAGGTGTCAAGATAAGATTCAGATGTTAAAATAGCCTGTTCACGGCATAATAACACGAATAATTAACATTTGAAGGTTGGATGAATTATTTTTCTTAAAATCGTTTACATTCATTATACTTTGTTTACAGAATTTCAAAGCGCAATTTTTACCATTCTGAAACTTTTTCTAGAGTTGGAAACCACCAGTATTCAAAACCTTTGCTATTCATGTCATCCTTTATCACAGGCAATTTTCAGAGGATGAATATTGACTGTTCTGGACACACAATTCTGGAGAACACTCCACTCACAATGATAGTTGCAGTCAAAAAAAAAATCAAAAGAGCCGTCTTTTCCCTTTCAGGAATGACAATTTTAAAAGGTCAAGGTATTTAAACACGAAGTTAGCTGTGAATGCATATATATTGCACATTAATTTTATAAATTAAAAAAAACATAAGCATTTTTTTTTTAATTTAATTTTTTTGTCTCTTTTTTTTTTCTTTTTGGAAAGCTTACCGAGTTTTAGAAAAAAGTAACGATTTCTTCGACTTTTCCGTTACAAATACTTGTACTTTTTCCCTAAAAAAGCAACGAAAGTACTAGTAAAAGTACTAAATTGTAAAAGTACCGAAGTACAAGTAAAAGTACGCACTTTTTACTTGTACCGGCGGTACAAGTAACGAAAGTAAAAGTACTGCCATATATGCTCATATCTTAATTTGGCTGCATGAAAAAATCCATGTTCATAGCATAGATAATGTACTAAGTTGCAGAAATGCCAGATCCAGAAATTGATCCAGTTTCGCATGATATTATTAGGACACAAATGATACATGGCCCTTGTGGGATCCTGAATCAACAGTCTCCTTGCATGAAAGATGGAAAATGTACAAAGAGGTACCCTCGAAATTTTTTGAAAGAAACACAAACAGGGGGAGATGGATATCCCCTGTATCGTTGACAGAGTCCAGAGGATGGTGGTTATACGACAGTTAAAAAAGATATTGTTATTGATATTGTTATTGATAATAGATGGGTAGTTCCTTTTTGTCCATTATTGTCAAAAACTTTTAATGCCCATATTAATGTGGAATTTTGTAATTCAATAAAATCTATAAAATATGTTTGCAAATATGTAATCAAAGGATCTGATATGACTGTGTTTAACATTGCCAACGACGAAAGTGCGCATGATGAAGCACAGCATTATGAAATAGGACGATACATCAGTAGCAATGAGGCAGTGTGGCGTATTTCGGTTTCCCTATACATGAAAAGCATCCAATAGTTGTTCATTTAAGTGTACAGAGAATGGCCAGCGAGTTTACTTCACATCATAAAATGCACGGGAAAGAGCTCAAGCTCCACCAGCCACAACACTTACTTCGTTTTTTAGCTTATGTCAAAACGATAATTTTGCTCGCACTTTGTTGTATAATCAGTTGCCGAAGTACTATACATGGTCTGCAAGCAGCAAAAAGTGGGTTCGGCGGAAATCTGGTCAGATAGTATCTGAAGACCCAGGAATTAAATCAAGTGAAGCACTTGGTCGCGTCTACACTATTCATCCCAACAATTCCGAATGTTTTCATCCTCGACTGCTGCTTCATGAGGTGCACGGACCTACATCTTTCAATGACTTAAAGACTTTTGGAGAAATAAAATGCGAAACATTTAAGCAGGCTTGCCAGGTAAGAGGACTTCTTGAAGATGACTCGCATTGGAAAAGCACGTTAGAAGAAGCTGCTGTTGTTCGATCACCTGAAATGCTGCGTAATTTATTTGCAATTATGTTGCAAACATGCTCGATTGCAAACCCTCTGGAATTGTGGAATTTACAAAGAGAAAATATGGCAGAAGATGTTTTGCACCAAGTCAGAATTAGAAGTACTGACAAGGATTTAAATTATGATGATGTCATCTTCAATCAGACATTAATTCTTCTTGAAAACAAGGTCGAAGAATTGGGTGGTTCTGGTTTAAAAACTTATGGACTTCCTTTGTCGCAACAAACAGATACCATTGACTTAAACAGAGAAATTTTGAGGGCAACAAATTACAATACAGATGAAATGACATCATACATTGATTCGAATGAGCCAAATCTGGTTCAAGACCGGAAGGAAGCTTTGTGGAATATTTTTTGTGGATGCACCTGGTGGAAGAGGAAAAACTTCTCATAAATCTGATTTTAGCAAAAGTGAGACAAAGAAATAATATTGCACTTGCTGTTACATCCTCTGGTATTGCTGCAACTCCTTTGTCTGGTGGACGAACAGCTCATTCAGTGTTTAAATTACCTTTAAATTTAGCAACCGTCGAGCATCCTACCTGCAATATTTCCAGAAGCTCACACAAAGCTGATGTTCTTAGAAGATGTAAACTAATAGTTTGGGATGAGTGCACTATGTGACATAAAGCTGCTTTAGAAGCCCTGGATATCACTATGCAAGACCTTTTAAAAAACAACAAGTGTATAAGAAGTGTAACTTTAGTTTTATCTGGTGATTTTCGACAAACACTTCCTGTAATACAACGTGGGACAAAGGCAGATGAAATACATGCATGTATAAAGTCATCTTACATTTGGACAAATGTTCAAAGACTGCGGCTGAAAACAAATATGCGAGTTCATTTAACAGGACAAGTCTTTGCACAGGAATTTGCCAACAATCTTGTAAGACTTGGAAATGGTGATATTAGTGGCGATAAAGAAGGGCTTATAGATGTGGAAAATATTGGAAATCGTGTTGCCACAACCGACGAACTCAAAGAAATGGTTTTTCCTAATATTCTTGAAAATTACTGCAACCCTCAATGGCTATGTGAAAGAGCTATCCTTTCTCCAACAAATGATATTGTTAACGTGATAAATAACAAACTTTTAAAGAAATTACCTGGTGCTCTGGAAATTTACAAGTCGATCGACGCTGTCATGGAAATAGATCTAGTTGTCAACTATATCCGACAGAATTTTTGAACTCATTGGAACCACCTGGAGTGCCTGCACATAAATTAGAATTGAAAATTGGAGCACCAATTATACTTTTAAGAAATTTGGATCCACCTGCATTGTGTAATGGAACAAGATTGTGAAAAAATTGATGCCTAATGTTATTGAAGCTATGATTATAACAGGACATTCAACAGGAAATAGTGTGCTTATTCCTCGCATCCCCATCATATTTTCAGACAATCCGTTTCAGTTTAAACGACTTCAGTTTCCTGTTCGACTTAGTTTTGCGATGAGTATAAATAAATCTCAGGGACAATCTTTAAAAGTCGTTGGTCTTGACTTGCAGAACCCTTGCTTTTCACATGGACAGCTTTATGTTGGCTGCTCAAGAGTTGGTGATGTAAAGAACTTAGATTTATTGGCACCAAATGGAAAAACTAAAAATATTGTTTATAAAGAAGTTTTACAAGAATAGGAAGAATTATATACTATATGTACGCTGACTGACACAAGTTTTATTTTATTGCTGTTTCTTAAATATGTTATTACCTGCGTTTTAATTTTCAGCTATTGGCCAATGATGATTTCGAAAGCAACTTTTGTATGCTTCTACAATTTCTGAGGCCTTTTTTTTAAAAAAAAAAAGTCTCCACCTGATAGTTATATTATAGGTTAGGTTACCATAGGCCTTAGGTTACCATAGCAAAGTTACATCTTCAAACATCCTCAAGAGCTATAACACATCTGCAGCAGAACCCTGATATGAAGACAAAATTGCAGGACAGGAAAACTTTAATTTTCCACTAATCTTCAGATTTCCTGCTATGTTTTAAAAAACTTTATTTGTAAAAACCTTTAGCGTGGCGGACAGCTGGCCGCCTTAAGCGGCTAGTTTACAATAAATACCTGCATTACTTTTTCGAATGTAGCATCACTGTTCTAAATGGTAAAGAAAAAAATTTTTAAAAAATATTTCACGAGGCCACTAATTTTGAGACCCCTAGTTTGCGTGTTTTTTGAAGAAATTTTTATGACAAAATAAAAATTTGATGCCTAGTTACATTATATTTTTACACGGTTATCATAACAATTTAAATTTATTTAGATGCCTATGAACGGTACTTCGGTTAAAGTTTAATTAAAAATTTTGTTCACCAAGAACTTTTTAATTACCATCAATTAAAAAATCACACTTTTGCATATAACTTTAAAACTAATATGGTTTTTCTAAAACTTCTTACACAGACCTCTACCAATTCTACCAGTATTTTGTTGAAATTTGAAAAGGATCGAAGATAAATAAAACTTTTGTTGCTAACTCCGTGTGTTCCCTTAATGACGATGCTGTAACTTTGTACTTCAGGCGGGATGCAAGCAGGAAAAAAAAAAACTCTTCATAGAAATTGTAATTTGATTAATTTGTCACAGAAATTACAGCAACTTCAGAACCCAAAGCTGCTACTGAAACGAGTAAAAAATAAATATTTGCCATCAGTGGGAGCTATTTAATACCAGAAAAACGTGTGTTTCAACGTAATTTATCTCAAAATAAATCGAATACCAGCCATGGCTGGTCTACACAGATACCGCTTGCACAGACCACAATGCTGACGTAAAATATCCCCAGTTGCAAACTAATTATTGGTTAGTCATCTTGCAGCCAGGTTAAAAGTGGTAGGATTTCACGGTTTTCCTCTCCGTGTAACGTAAATGCGGGTTAGTTACAAGAAGTACTACGCGTAGGCAAATTTCTCCCAATACTTGAGCTAGGAGTCTTCTGGCTTGGGTCCAAAATTACAAGGTTGCGGAGTTGAACATTAGTCGTTAACACAAAATTGGGTCTGCTGTTCAACGACGGTTCTAAAATAAAATGTAAAGAATGGAGCCGTGATGGCTCAGGTGAGAGAGCTCCCCTTCCATTGAGGAGAACCGGGTTCGAATCCCAGAGATGGCTGGTAGATACGAATTCCGCATCCGGCTTGCACCGACCACAGCGTTGACGGGAAATATCCTCAGTGGTAGACGGATCATGGGTTAGAATCCCCTTGCCGTCAGCTAAGCGTAAGAGGTTTTCGTGGTTTCTCTGAGTAATGCTAATACGTGCTAGTTACATCAAAAAGACCTCCACGAAAGAGAAATTTCTCCCAAAGTTTATCCTGGAGTTCCCTTTCCATCTGGATTGGGTTCAAATTCACAAGACTACGGAGTTTAACACTGGTAGACGTAAACTTTAAATTTGGTTAGCTGTTCAACGACAGTTTTAAAATATACAGATTGATTACAACTTTGTTACTCGTAATTCCGGCGAACATTACTTACTATCATTGACATTGTACTTACACTATTCTGAAAAATAAACTCAAATAAGCTTCTGAATAAATTAAATCAACATATCGTCGAACATGATACAATTTAATAAATTTAAACATTTATACATTGAAATCATTTCAGCTTTTCCTAACGAACAGCATAACTACCGAAATTTAATAAAATTTAGACAGAGTTGAGTTTTTCGCCAATTGTCTTAGCCAGTTCAGCAGGCATGTCAGCAACAAAAATGTGTGATCCCTTTTCAAACGGAACCAATTCAGCTTTTGGGAAGTGTTTCTTCATGGAATCCTTTGTTTCATTTCTACAATAAGAGAAAAAAAGTCTTGTTTAATGACACGTAAAGTACATTTATAACAGACTTCAAATTGAGATATTCAGTCTCACCATAGAACCTATCAGTGTCATCTAAATTTATTCGGATAAATTTAGATATTTATCTGAAAGTTTGTTTTATTCTGAAACAAAGCCTTTAAATAAAGCATTTCAATTAAAACTTAGACTTTTGAAAGATTTGCTGCGAGATTCTTATACGAGGGAGATTTCGCTCTTCTACGTAAGTTTCCGTAAGCAAGATTGAAACTGCGCATGCTTACGCTTTAGATGCTACGTAACTTTAGGTTATGTTTGCGAGATATCAGCTACAAAGACAACTACAAGCACGCTGTTTTAGCTGGTAAATGTTTTCTGTTAAAGTCTACCTTTGAAATAAAAACATGGAATGGGAGTTAGAAGAAATGTATTACCAGTTAGAAATTATTCTTTTGATATTGCAATCATTGGTTCATTTAATAAAAATTATTTTTAGTTTAACATTATGGTTGGCTAATTACACTAGTTCAATAAGAACCTAGATTTTTGATATTTCAAAATTACAAATTTCACTTTAATTATACAATCAGTAGAAGTTTAATATTTTTAAATAAGCTGCATTCTTGATAGCTGAATTCATTGAACTATAGAATTCACCAAATTTTCTGCTCACGTATCCACAGTTTTACGTAGAGAAAAGAATCTTGAATCGTAGCAGTCAAGAAATAGTCTACCACCATTGTGTACGTTCGGTTTTGGTGTTAAAGTCAAAATATTTGACTAAGTTAGAGTTATTAACTGACAGATTTTCTCGAAATCTAATTTTCACTTACTCAAGTTTAATACTTCTTCCACGGACGCATGCGCATCTCACCAGAACTGCCACATGCGCCCAAGTACGCATATGCAATTACTTGAAATATTACGTACAGAACCTAACATAAATTTGAAAAATCTTCCTATTATCTTAAGATTCGACCTCAAATTCATGACAAGACCTAAAAATGTTAAGTTCTTTAAAGAATTAAAACAAAAGATCTCATAACCACTTTAGTCTATGCTAATCAGAACTGAAAGTTGAACTATGAATACAAAGTTACTTAAATAAAAAGTTAAATTACCAAATCAAAGCTAGCAAACTTACATTTTATAATGAGATTCGGTGCCATAAAGGAAATAAGTAGGCCCATCATACTCTCCCTGGTAATCTTCCTGGTGCTTCTCTAAGTGTTCTAGAGCTTTGGCAAGAGCATCTGTGTTGTAAGATGCATCCCAACCCTTTGCAGTTTTCTTGTACTCAAACGTTCCTTTCAAGTAGGAAGCTTTTTCCTTATCCTCTTTCTGAAAATTACAAAAAAAAATTAGAAATATTGTGTTGAGTTTATTGTTCACTATTGTATAGAGTTAATGTTCTCATACATGCCAACTTGCTCCGGACAGAAAAAATATATTTTAAAGTGGTAGTTTATCAATTGTGATTCTTGGTTTAATAAATTCAATTTAGTAGACTTTTATCCACCACTATTTCTGAATAGTTCTTAGGCTTATATAATTCACCACTTTATAGTACCTATGTCATGCAATGCCTGTTAAAAAGCAAACAAAAATAGTCAAATATTTGCAAAATTTACTTTGCAGTTATTTACCGTTTCTTAATTATTTTCTCGTGTCCGGAGCAGTTGGCATCTCTGTGTTCTATCCAAATTAAGTACAATGGTTAGTTGATAGAGCGGATACAGTCCACCGTATAGGGCACATCTAATGCTAGGAAGAAAAACAAATATTAACAGCAGGCACATTGTAACCTGTCTGCTTCTGTAACTTGGACTTATGGCAGTGTTCTGGTATACTTTAAAACCTACAGGGTGCCTTTTATAGTCGTCGCTAAGCTGTCTTTCATCTTAGCTGTCATTCTCTTGTCTCGTGGATTGGGATCAAAATTGCAAGGCTGCGGAGCTTAACATAAATAGTCGTAAGCCCAAGAATTGGGTAGGCTGTTAAACGAGGGCTAAAAATAAATTAAAAAACAAAAGCTTGCATTATAATTGCTCCCAACTGCAGCCAGAAGGAAATATCCAAAAAGTATTTAAATGCCGCTGGATTCTAAACAAGCTCCCAAGCCTATAAGCTTATTTCGCGTAGGCACTGAGTGGCGAAGTGTTTATACTGTCTTTGCTTAACCTAAGCTATTCAGTCTGGAAATTACTAAAATCTGTTGATTAAGCTATAAAGTGGATGTAAAAGCGGCTATAAAGTTCCGGAAGATCAGGATGAGTTAAATCAGATATGATTCCGATAGACTTGCACAGACCCCAATGTACAATTGGAATATCCAGAATTGTAGACTGATCATGGGTTAGAATATCCTTCCTTCCAGGCTAACA